GGGGTGGGGGGGCGCTGGCCTGGCACAGAAAGGACAGAAAGGTGCTACATCCACAGTTTCTTCTGTCCATTCCCTGCTCTCGGCTCCTCTGCCCTGGGGCAGCCAGAGGAGCGAGTCTGCTACAGCAGGTCCCCAGTGGCTCTGACTCCCGTCCCTGCTGGCCCTGACCCGTCCATCACAGCCTGCAGGTTCCTCTCTCCTCAGCGCAGCTAAGACCGGGCCCCTCCCTCGCTCACACACCTTCAGTGGCGACCATCCACTGTGGGCAGGAGGTCCCAGCACCTCAGCCTGCTGCTCAGGCCTCCTCCTGCACTTGCTCACGTCCTCATCTTTGCTTTTGCCCCTTTCCTCACAGCTTCTGTTGAAGTGCTACCCATCCTATTTGCATCCTTCTTGCTGCATAAGGCCTTCCCTGCCATGTCCCCCCACTCCCGCCCCCAACATCACCTCAGTGGTCCTGGCCAGCCACCCAGAGCTCCTCACACCGTGCACCTAGTGTTTGGGTCACTGATTATCCACACCCCCACCCACTAGAATCATTATTCCTGGGAAAGCAGAGACCAGTCTCACTGATATTTACAGTCTCCAGTGCTCAGCGCGTGGCTGAAGCAGGCTCTCGCTAAGTGCTTCAGAAATTGAGATGCAGGAAATCGGGGACCCCCTCCCGGTCCTGTCCCCATGGTCCTCTACCTGCTCAGGTGAACTGGACCACGAGCACCCTGAGGGCAGGGACTGCTGCTTCTTTTATCTTAAAGCTCCAGTGTCCAGCCCAGAGCTGGGTGGTGAGCAGGTGCTCGGGGCTATTCCCTGAATCACTGAGCATGCGATTGATGGGAGAAAGGCGGACACATTTTGATTACAATCCTCTGGTCCACCGGGTGTTCACTAGGCTAAAAATGCAAAGGGTTTTGCTGGTTGTTTGCTGGGAAAGACTCAGAGGGGCTGAGGCAGTGGTCGGCAAACCGCGGCTCTTTGGCCCCTTGAGTGTGGCTCTTCCACAAAGTACCGACTTCTTCGCATGGGCCACGAAGTTTCAATCGCACTATACATGCACGCCCGCACGTGGTATTTTGTGGAAGAGCCACACTCAAGGGGCCAAAGAGCCAAATGTGGCTCATGAGCCGCGGTTTGCCAACCACGGGGTTGAGGGGACCCCACCGAGCGGCCCTGGGAGGCCCATGGAGCCAGTGGTGGGCAGGGCGTCCTGAAGTTTAGGAAACGGTGGTCTCCAGGCTGCGGTTCCAGCAGAAAGGAGTCTGTCCCAGAGTCCTGCTCTGCTCATGCGTGCGGAGTGGCAGAGGGAAAGCATGAAGTGGAGAACCAGCTGCCCTGGTTCTAAGCCCTGGCACCTCTATGTACTTGTCTTATGATCTCAGGTGACTGAGTGTCCCTCAAGACACTGAGCCTTCATTTCTTCAACACAGACATGACATGCCTGCCTCTGGGACCGCATGAAGGTCAGGCGGGCCACTGGGTATGGGCTGGGACGTGCAGGGCCCGAGATGTGGGGAATGCTGGTTTTACGAGCTAGCGAATCACCCATTGAATGCCTGGCTTCTCCTCTTTGCTCTCTGGTATACCCGGGTCCAGCGCCGGATGGGTGCAGGTTTGGAAATGGTGGAAGAAGAGAAAAGTGGGAAGATGGATAAAGAGCTGCCACTCAGGGTCTCCTGCTCCGCCCAGGGCCCTCCCAGGGCCCTCCCAGGTCACGAACGCCTGGCATCACGTCCAGGAAGGAGGTCCTGGATGAGCACAGGCCCTGGTGCCCAGGGTGTGGGACGGGAGGTGAGGGACACTCCAGACACAGGAGTCCCTCCTGCGAGCAGCCTTCCCTTCCCCGCTCGCCCTTCCCCTGCACCCGTGGCCCTTTCAGAAAGACCGTCTATTCGTCTCCTGTCACTTGCCCACCTTTCTCTTCGAATCTGGGGCAAAGAAACATAGGCTGTTAAAGTATCTGATCAGTCATAGGTGAGACAGCACATGTCTGTTTCTGAACCCATTTTTATGATTCGTGACAAATTTGCATATCAATATGTACCTATCGGTAGCCTCAGTTTCCTGGTTTGTATAATTGAAAAAAGAACATTGAGCCCTGGCTGGTGTGGCTCAGATGGCTGAGCATTGCCCTGGGCACCAAAGGGGTCGCAGGTTCGAGTCTGATCAGGGCACCAAAAACAAAAGAACATTGACACCTATTCCCTAGGGCTGTTAGCGTGAAGGGAAAATGAGGTCTGAGGTCAAGAATATGCAGGCCCCTGTGAACTCTAATGTCATCTACACTGAATGCTCATCAGGTGTCCAAGTGCCCTGTGCATATGATGTCCCTGAATCCTCAGCACCACACGTATGCCATTGCTCCTTTCATGGTAAATGCCATGACTCCCAATTTACAGAGAAGGTGCTGAGGCCCAGTGAGGTGAGCAGATGTCTGAGCTCAAGGGCAGGGCTGGGAGGCGGACCCGGCCCGCTGACCCCGAGCCCGGCTCCTCATCGCTGCACTGGGGCTGTCACCGCTGTGAGGAATGAAGGAGCCGTAGGTCTGTAGGTTTAGATGATGTCCGTGTCTGTCTGGGGGCTTGGAAGGCAGCTTTTCAAAGTCTCGCTGCAGGAAGACGGGAAGGCCATTCTGTGAAGAGGGCAGCCTGGGGTGGGGTTTGGAGGGGAGAGAGCCCTGAGGAGTAAAAAAACAAAATGGGAACAAATACAATATTTGTATTTGCATGTGGCCCACGGGCCGTAGTTTGAGGACCCCTGGTTTAGATGATGTCCGTGTCTGTCTGGGGGCTTGGACGGCAGCTTTTCAAAGTCTTACTGCAGGAAGACGGGAAGGCCATTCTGTGAAGAGGGCAGCCAGGGGTGGGGTTTGGAGGAGAGAGAGCCCTGAGGGGCATGGCTGCTGATGGGGGGGGAGGGGGCGTTGGAGGCCAGCCCCGTGCAGGGAGGCTGTTACCGGGCACGGGCCACAGTCCACACTTGACTGTCCTGCCCAGTGCCTGGGCCACAGGTTGCCCTGAGCGAAAGCTGCGTGTCCGCAGGTAAGCGGGGAGGATGTGAGGAATGTCCTGCCTTCTCATTGCCTCCTGAGACCCGCAGGTGGCGGGGAGCTTGAGGATTCGGGAGAGACAAAGAGGAAATGGAAGCGGTCAGACTAACCTTTCCTCTTTATGCCGGGGGCCTTTTCCTGCTCCCCTCGCCCGCCCAAGTCGCCCAGATGGCTACAAAGGTCCACACCCTCAGCACCAACCCTGCCCACCCGACAAGCCAGTCCGCTCTCCCACTCATGTGGCTCTGCCTCATTGGCTTGCAAGCTTTTTAACAAGTGACTCCTCCCTGCAGGGCTCCCATTTATAGTCTCCTCTTCCAGTCAGCCTTCCTGGATTGAACCAAGCCTCTGGATACCATGATAAGCCCTGTTCCTGCGATGTCTAGGGCAGTGATGGCGAACCTATGACATGCGTGTCAGAAGTGACATGCGAACTCATTTTTTTGGTTGATTTTTCTTTGTTAAATGGCATTTAAATATATAAAATAAATATCAAAAATATAAGTCTTTGTTTTACTATGGTTGCAAATATCAAAAAATTTCTATATGTGACACGGCACCAGAGTTAAGTTAGGGTTTTTCAAAATGCTGACACGCCGAGCTCAAAAGGTTCGCCATCACTGGTCTAGGGGCTTGGTTGGCCTTTCTCCATTTCTCTTTAGTCCTGTATACCACTGGGTAGGAAAGGGGAGGGAAGGGAAAGTAATCAGACCTTCTAATTCGGATGGAGCTCTCCAGGGCACCTATTCTAGCACCTAAAACCGAGGCGTCAGAAAGGGAAGTAGAAGAAGCCCACGGTTCCCCTGGAATGCCGGCTCCATGGGGCTCACACACTCTAACCAGGGGTGGAAGATGACGTCTGATCTTCCCACGCCCACCCCTGGCGGTCAACTAGCGCTTGCTCCCCAATCTCAGGCCTGCTCCTCGCGAATTCTTCCCATTCCGTCCTCACCAGAGAAGAAAAGCAAGTCATCCGCCAGCCTGCTGTTCTAGTCCTTCAGGGCCTTTGCACCCAACAGTATTGGCTGTGGGGTTCCTCCCTGGTTTGCCCAGACCCACAGCTCACAGCTCCTTGCACAGACGGCAGCAAAGCCGTAGCTGCTAAGAAAAGGCCGGCTTCATGATGCCACGTTACCGATAAGAAAACTACTGGCCAGAGGTCATGACCTCTTCTGACGCTTGGTGCAAAAATGGCCCAGGTCTCCTGACTCCCAGTCCAGGGCTCTGCCTGCCACACTCAAAGGATTCGCAAGCCTCCCCCCAACCCCAGGAAAAAACTTCCTTGTGTCCGAGCTCACTCATCTCATTACCTTGCTCCTTCCTCCTATCCCTCCTGGGGGCTCCCCCGACTTCAATGAATTCTGGTTAGAGGAAGAAAAAGAGAGGGAGCAGGGCAGATCAAACAGAGGCCGGAAAAAGGAAGGGACCGAGGTGATAACAAAAAGGAAGACAGAGGGTCACAGGCTGGTGGAGTCAGGCACAGACAGAAGCACAAGAGAGGCAGAGGCCCAGGGAGAGCCCCTGAGCTTGAAGAACAGAAAGACGGCATGCCCTGGCCAGTCAGAAAGGGAAGTAGAAGAAGCCCACGGTTCCCCTGGAATGCCTGCTCCATGGGGCTCACACACTCTAACCAGGGGTGGAAGATGACGTCTGATCTTCCCACGCCCACCCCTGGCGGCCACCTAACACTTGCTCCCCATTCTCAGGCCTGCTCCTCGCGAATTCTTCCCATTCCATCCTCACCAGAGAAGAAAAGCAAGTCGTCCGCCAGCCTGCTGTCCTAGTCCTTCAGGGCCTTTGCACCCAACAGCATTGGCTGTGGGGTTCCTCCCTCGTTTGCCCAGACCCCACAGCTCACAGCTCCTTGCACAGACCGCAGCAAAGCCGTAGCTGCTAAGAAAAGGCCGGCTTCATGATGCCACGTTACCGATAAGAAAACTACTGTCCAGAGGTCATGACCTCTTCTGACGCTTGGTGCAAAAATGGCCCAGGTCTCCTGACTCCCAGTCCAGGGCTCTGCCTGCCACACTCAAAGGATTCGCAAGCCTCCCCCCAACCCCAGGAAAAAACTTCCTTGTGTCCGAGCTCACTCATCTCATTACCTTGCTCCTTCCTCCTATCCCTCCTGGGGGCTCCCCCGACTTCAATGAATTCTGGTTAGAGGAAGAAAAAGAGAGGGAGCAGGGCAGATCAAACAGAGGCCGGAAAAAGGAAGGGACCGAGGTGATAACAAAAAGGAAGACAGAGGGTCACAGGCCGGTGGAGTCAGGCACAGACAGAAGCACAAGAGAGGCAGAGGCCCAGGGAGAGCCCCTGAGCTTGAGGAACAGAAAGACGGTGGAGCCGGAGGTCCTGCAAGAGAGGCCGGGCATGCCCTGGCCAGTTTGGCTCAGTGGATAGAGCGTCGGCCTGCGGACTGAAGGGTCTCAGGTTCGATATCGACCAAGGTCACATGCCTGGGTTGTGGGCTCGATCCCCAGTAGGGGGCGTGCAGGAGGCAGCCGATCAATGATTCTCTCTCATCATTCTTTCGGCTAAGGGCACATGCCTGGGTTGCGGGCTCGATCCCCAGTAGGGGGCGTGCAGGAGGCAGCCGATCAATGATTCTCTCTCATCATTGATGTTTCTCTCTCCTGCTTCCTTCCTCTCTGAAATCAATAAAGAAATTTATTTTTTTTTAAAGAGAGGCCGGCAGTGGAGCAGGACACTCTGGCACTGTGTGGGGGAGAGGCCCATCATCATGGAAATGGCCCTGGTGCTGCCGCAGAGGAACATGGGCCCTGTGCCCCTGGGGTGGCAGCTGAGAGACAGTGCCTCCTCCAGGACCCTCTGGTCCTGCTCCCCTGCTCCCTGAGGAGGCCTCCAGGGGAGTCTGAGGAGGAGAGTGAGTGCTGAGGGCGGAAAGGAGGCGGAGAAGGGGCGGAAGGGCTGAGTGAGGCTGAGAAGGAGCAAAGGGGGCAGGTTCTGGGGTCGGAGACAGCAGAGTGGGAGAGAGAATGGGAGAAGCTCCCTCTGCCGGGAGGGGCTGGGAGAACAGGAAGGGTCTCCACCAGCCCAGCCCTCTGCCCTGGCCCAGGGAGCCTGTGTCCTTGGACAGCCTGGGCACAGGGTGCCAGACCTCACACCCCACATGTCCCTCCAGTGGCTGCCCAAGCCCCCATTTCACTTTCTTCACCCTGGATCTGGCTCCAAAAGAAATTGAAAGAATGCCCTAGCTGGTGTGGCTCAGTGGATAGAGCGCCGGCCTGCAGACTGAAGGGTCCTGGGTTCGATTCCAGTCAAGGGCACATGCCCGGGTTGCAGGCTTGATCCCCAGTAGGGGGTGTGCAGGAGGCAGCCGATCAATGGTTCTCAGTCATCATTGGTATCCCCCCACCTGCATCATTGATATTTATCTCTCTCTCTCCCCCTCTCCCTTCCTTTCTGAAATCAATAAAAATATATTAATAAGAAGAAAAGAAGTTGAAAGAAGGAGAGGGGAGGGAAGGCTAAGGAGAGAGAGGGACATGGGGCAGGCGTGAGGCCAGGAGCAGAGGGAGAAGGAAGATGAGAGGGTGGAACAGGAGAGGCGGAGGGGCTGCCAGGTGCCAAGAGAAAGAGGCGGAGGAGTGGCTGAGGGCACCGAGGGAGGTGAGGCTATTACTGAGCACGGTGAGCTTCGCCCGCCGGGAGCGCAGCGCGGCCTCCGTGGCCTGGCATTCGTAAGAGGCATCGTCAGAGAGCTCGGCGTCTGTGATCTCCAGGTTGTACTGCCCGGCGTCCGCGGAGCCCACGACCCGGTACCGCGGCCAGGCTGCAGGGACAGAAAGGGGGAGCCCGGCGTGAGCCCATCCCCATGTGGGAGCCAGCCCGAGTGACCCGCGCTTACCCTCTGCCCGCTCCTCATCCCCACAGCAGGGTCCACACCCCACTCCCAGCCAGCGCCACCCTCCGCCCTCCCTGGGAACCCATCTCAGCGGATAGGGATGAGGTCCCAGATGTGGGTGCTGTGACGTCATAACCTCCCACAGTGAGGCTGGGGGCCATAACGCAGAGGAGGAGGGACAGGGTGGAGACAGGAGGTGGGGAGGGGGTGGAGTGGGGGAGCAGAGCACATCTCTAAAGCAGTTTGCAGAAAATGGTCCCTCATAATAATAGGAAAGACAAAAGAATAAATGTGACAACAGAGAAAGAAGAGGAAGAGAGGGGGAGATGTGGGACATTGCAGCACCGACATGAGCTCATGGGCCAGAGGAAGGCCAAGGAAGCCGAGGCCTCACCCTCACTTGCCCAGGGAGGGATGGTGAGGCAGGTCCTACCAGCTCCCTGCGGAGCCCAAAACCAGAGATCCTGTTCCCCCAAGAAGCCATGGCTGTGGCCAGTGGGCCTCAGAGAGTCGGGCTCTGTATTCAGTCTCCCTTGCTGCTGCCCAGCCCCTCACTCTCCTGCCCCCGCTCCTGTGCCCACATCAGCTCCCTCCCACTCTCTCCCTCTGTCTGCAGGCTATTGATTCTTCTCACTCCATAGCCATTGATCTCTTTCTCTCTCTCTCCCAGTTTCTTTACCTTCCTATCATCAATAGATCCACCAGACCTATCTCTTCCCTTTAATCAGATTGCTTTATACAGACAAATCTCCCCCTCCCCCCTGCATTAATACATGACACGCACAGCAAGTCATCTCAACCCCTCAGACAATAATAAACATATACAGTCCCTCCCAGACTTCGGCCCTTACACGGACGGCTTTATGGTGTTTCCACAAAGTATATTCTCTTTTGGTTCAAAACTCACAAATGCACTAATAAGGCGACAGGCCTGGGACTCTGACACTCTTTTATACGGTGGCAAGCCAAGGCCCAGACAGGTGCAGTGACCTTCCTAAGGTCACCCAGCAGGTAGGTGGCAGAAGAGCACTAGCACCAGGGCCTGGACTCCTCATCTCCTCGGCCAGGCGGCCCCTCCAAAGAATCTCTACTTACTTTGGACTTCAGGGGGTTGGGTTTGGGTTTGTTTGTCTGTTTATTTATTTCACTTATTACCAACTCATATTTGCTTCAGCACTGGCTCCAGGGCGCTTAATAAAAGCTTGTTGAATAAATAGATAAATAAGTGCTCAGGCTGATATTAAAGTGAGTTTTCAGCCTCTGAGCAGACATTGCTGGGCAGGGGCAGGGGCAGGGGCAGGAGAGAGGCTGGAGCGAAGCCAGTGGCATAAATGCGGTCTCTCTCCTGCTCTGCAGGGACCTCTCCCAGCACCTTCTGCTTCCCCTGCTTCTGCCTGAAGCAGCTCTCCTGGTTTCTGTCTGTCTGTCTGTCTGACCTCTTTTACATGAAGATCTTGTTTCTTTGGTCTCTCGGGCTCCTCGTTGTCTTTCTTGAGCGAGTACATAGGAAGAAACAAAGAAGAGCAGGGTTTGGGAAAAGCGGGGAGGAGAGGAGAGAGCCCGACCACACCCCCGAGAAGAGCCTGGAGCACAGAGAAGGGAGGCCGAGGCCGGAGTCTATCGGGGGACAGAGGGGCGGTGGGTCCACAGATGGGATCGTCAGGATGCCGGGCTAGCTGGGTGACCCCACTCACCTTTGAGTCCCTGGCCCATGCCCAGCGCCAGCCCGTCCTTGGTCCATTGCACGATCCCCGAGTAGTTGAGCAGCACGCAGGGGAGCACGGCCCGCTGTCCGGCCACTACGGTCTGATCGGCTGGCTCCTGGCTGAAGCGCGTCTGGGTCCCTGGCAAAGCCAAAGGCGGCACCGGTTAAGGAGATGCATGGGGAGAGGGGATCCACCCAGAGACAGCCACTCCCGGCTCCTGCTCCAGCCCTGCAGGCTCCTGCTCTGGCCCTGCATCGGCTGGAGAGAGAGGCCTGGGCCTTGGACCCTCCCGTCTGCCCACTTCAGCCCAGCACCTTCCCTGCAGGATGCCACACGCTCACCCTGATCCCTTCCTCCCTCCACGGTCCCCAGGAATGGTTTCAGGAGCCGAGTGCTCAGCAATCATAGGAAGTGGAACACTATTAGCAACGGCCTTGGCGACGGGGCTAGTCGAACCCTCTCAGCTTACAGATGAGGACACCGAGGTCCTAACCAAGGACACCCAGTGGGTTAAAGGCAGAGCTGGGATTCGAACCGGAATCTCAGAACTCTGGGCCCCAGGATCTTCCCTCCCACTGCCCCTCACTGACACCCGTGTCAGTCAGCGCTGGCTCACAGTGCTTACTAAAGGCTTGTTGAATTAATGAATAAATAAGTAATCAGGCTGATATTATAATGGCCGTGGCCTCTGAGCAGGCATCGCCTGGGGAGGAGGCAGAGAGAGACTGGAGCAAAGTAGGCGTAAAGCACATTCCAGTTCCAGGAAGCCCGTCACCAACGCTGCCGGTGACGGTGTGGTCCCCTTAGTCCTGAGACATGAATACACCATTGCACCCTACTTGCACATGCTCTGTGTGAGCCAATGTCAGGGAACACACATGTGCAACCATGTGGTCCCGCTCCCTATGAATGCATCCAGCGAGTGCTAAGGGCAGCTTCTATGGGGCAGGTGTGTCCACGTGTGCAGAGCTGCCTGAGTGGCCGTGTATCCAAAACCAAGTGCCTATGCCCCTGCTGCGTGGCGCACGCCCTGTCCTGTGGATGTAGTTCTGGCACATACTGTGGGAGCTGCATCCAGCCACCCGCTGGCAGCCCGGCCCGGAGCACTTGATTAGAGAACCGCAGAGTAATTGCCTTTAATGGTGGAGCCTAAGTGGAGCAGGGAATTGGACGGCAGTTTCTTCTCCCCACCACTCCCTGCGCCCGCCTGCAGCCCGCGTGCCCAGCCCAGTGGTGGGCAGGCCCAGGCACGGCGCATGGCCTCAGGAGCAGAGCCTCAGCTTCCGCGCAGGGCTGTGGGAAAGAGGGCAGAGGTGGAGGGGCTGCGGGACAGCAAGGGAGAGGTCTGGGCATCCTCCCACGTCCCCAATTTGTCACACCACTGTAACCCAAATCAATTTTCCCCAGGACGCCTTCCCCTTCTATTCCTCTGTAGCTCTCAAGTCTTTGCAGAGACCCCCATCCCAAATCCAACTGTTTCCAAACTAAGTTTTCCAAAATTTCTCTGATTCTCCATTATTTTGTGTATAAGGAAGCAAATGAAACCTGTCCCTCCCCCTTCCAAGACGCCCCTGTAAATTATGAGACAGGATCCTAGTTTGTCCTCCTCTTCTTTTTTTCCCCTCCTCCAGCTTCATTTCTCCCCTTCTTTCCAAAGCTGCTCCACTTCCAGGAAGTCCTCCAGGATTGGCCCCTTAGCTCCTTGGGCAAACAGCTTGTCCCATCACTCGGCCCTGCTGTCACAGGCCTGTCCATGGGATTTCAGATAGTCTGTGCCCATGCTTTTGTTTGTCATGGGATAGAGGGCAGTGGGTGGGTGGGGTGTCTGCCCTAACTGCTTACCAGAATGAGAACCTCTGCTCAAGGCCGAGGGCTGTGATATCTTTCTCCTCTAAATTTCCCTGCACGTTTGACATCCAAATTGGTTGCTGCACATAAAGGGACCAAGAAGAGGGGGCCGGGCCAGGAGTGACTGATGGCCAGCTTATAAGCTCATACACAGAGGAAGCATCTTTTGGTTAAGGGTGCAAATCTAGCTCTTTGGGTCTGCGGGGGATCCGGGAGTTGGAAACAGGGCTCCTCCCCCACACCCGCGAGCAGCTCCCCAACTCTGCTGACCTGGCAGTCCACCCGTGTCTTCTAAAGAGGCAAAGGATAGGCTCGCCCATATTTCCAGGGGAGGGGGTGGGTCAGGTGAGCAGCCAGCATTATTAATTCAGGCACTGTCCTCATTATTATTTAAATTTATTCATATCATTGCGCATTTCTCCAGTGTAGCTTCATGCTGCAAACTCTCCACACTCATGCTTCTCCTTCCACAGCCCCCAGAGCCCGAGTCAAGGGCTTGGGAGTGGGGCAGCCGGAGAGCCGTGGCTCGGGGATGGAATTGATATTCACAGCGCTCCTGCCTGGGGCTGGGACACCCTGGTTTCCTAGCGAAGTCTCCAAGGACAGCGAGAAGCTGGCTCCCTGTCCACTGAAGCAAGCCGGCGGCCGACCTGCAGTGGGACACTCAGCAGAAGCCCTTGGGGTCAGAGTCGGAGGCGGAGATCTTGCCGGAGGGCGGAGTCCGTGACCTTGGCCTGCCCCTCCCCTGTCTGCCTGTGTGTGCTCACCTTTGCAATGACTCCAAAGACAAGTCTGGACTAAGAGCCGCAAAGGTTCCTTTTAAGAGCACAAGCCCAGGAGACAGACGGGCTCATGGAGTGCGTCTGCCCCTTCCTAGCTGTGTGACCTCGGCCAAGTCACTTACTCTCTAAGCCTCGTTGCCCTTATTGGTGAATTAAGGGGTGCAGACACCTCCAGGAGCGCTGTGAGGACTGAATGGATGAGGCTATGACATGCCAGGGGCATTCCTGGCACGTGCCCACTAGTGGGAGCTATAACCCTTCTCTCTCCTGGGCGGGTAAGTAGAGGGACTGCTGGAACCCTGAACAGTGACATGACAAAAAGGGGTGTCCTCCTGGGGATTTGGACGTAAAATGCCCTCTGGGTTTAGGCCTGGCGGAAGCAATCTAGCCTGGAGGCTGGAGAATGGAGGCAATGATCCTGAAGAGTCCAGAGGAGGGACATGGAGGGTCTAGACCAGTGATGGCGAACCTTTTGAGCTCGGAGTGTCAGCATTTTGAAAAACCCTAACTTAACTCTGGTGTCGTGTCACATATAGAAATTTTTTGATATTTGCAACCATAGTAAAACAAAGACTTATATTTTTGATATTTATTTTATATATTTAAATGCCATTTAACAAAGAAAAATCAACCAAAAAAATGAGTTCGCGTGTCACCTCTGACACGCGTGTCATAGGTTCGCCATCACTGGTCTAGGGAATTTAACTCAATGGAAAGGCAGCCTAGATCCTGGCCGCAAACAGCCCTGAAGCCAAGACAGAATGAGACAGAGTCCAGTGCCCACAGGTTGGTCCATGATGGGGAGAAAGCCCCAGGCCTGCATGACCAGGTCCCGCGCTCTCTATTCTGCACCCTCCACACCTTTGTCACCCCTCATGCCCTTGGCCAGGCCTTTCCCAGATGGGACACTGCTCTCTCCCCCGCCTTTGGGATTCAAATAGTTACCTCTTCTGTGAAGCCCTCAGTCACTGGCCAGCGAGCCTTCAGGGCCCTTTGCATCACTTCTCGCCTCAGCTATAGAAGGTCCACACTGCACTGCTCACCCCCATCCCTGCCCTGCCCGAGGGGTGGGGACATTATATCACTTGGAGCTCCAGCCCCATCACTTAGCGGGGCCTGGCTGACAGTCACACAGCAGGTGTTCAGAGCGGGCCTGTTGATTGACAGAATGAGAGTGAGCACATGCCTGGGTCAACAGCCCCACCTGAGAAACACGGAAAGAAGGCAGAGCGCCCTGCCCAGGCGAGGCCACAGAGCCCAGCAGAGGCAGGGCAGCAGGAGGGTGGAGGGACAGGACAGGGTCCTCTGCAGGAGAGGAGAAGCATTGCGGGGCAGGGCTGGCAGTCCTAGGAGGCTCCCTGGAGGAGGGCGTAGCAGTAGGCCAGGTGGAGGATACAGAACTCTGGAAGCTTCTGATGCAGTCATGGGGTGGTCATGAGAGAATACGGGGATGGTGAGGAAAAGCCTAGAAAGTGAGCCTCAGACTCGGGCCATTGTCCAAACCTGTCCCCTGGGCCTCTCCATCTCCCCTTGATACTGTCCCCTCACCCAGGACACTTCTTCCATAGCACCCTCCCACCGCTTGTTCTCAACCCTGATCTTCCCGGGTGACGCTGCCTTCCAGCTTTCTCCACCACCCCCCTCTGCACCGCACTGGGGTCCAGAGGTAGACCAGGAGCCCGTCTCAGAGCCAGGCCTGTCTCAGCCTCTGTGTGTGAACACATCTCCTGTCCCCACTGGGCCTAGCCCCGGGGCTGGGACACAGCTTCCCCACCAAGACCCGGGGAAGACAGACGGCTTGAATCCCATTTTTGACTAAGAATTAAGTGACCTCTAAATCTATCACAGAGCGGCCGAAAATGCTCACAGATTCTCAGACATGCGTCGTATACTTCTTGTGAGCATACATGTACTATCACACACAAGTGCGCATCCACCCCCCCACACACACTCACCCCTCTTCTGTACCTGTGCGTTTATGTACATGTCTCTGCACCCCATGGGCATGTGTCCGTGCCCACGTCAGGGTCCATGTGCCCTGGCAGCCATGCTCCTAGAGCCTTGCCTGCCAGGTCTGCCAGGAACCAGAGAGGAAGTGGGGCCAAGCACATGAGAAGCCCGGGAGCCCGGCCGCAGGAGCGGGAGGGTGGAGGCCAGGCCCTGTCTCCCCAGATTTATCCTGTGAGCAGTAATGAACCCCTGGGCTGAAGCAGTCCCGCTCTCTCCACCGGGATAGCTGCCCGTTCAAAGACAAGCCTTTGATTCACACTGACAGCTCTCAGATGGAACTAAATCTCTCCACACTCCACTCTTCCGCCCTCTCTGCTCTCCTCACTCGTCCCGCCCCCAGTGTTTCCCCTCCAATCCCAGCCATTCCTGTCCTGTTCTAGGAAAACTACAGCAGCCAGAGCGGGCGCCTCCCATTGGATCCTCTCACCAAGAAAAGAGGATTGCCGTTCCCTGGGCAGGGCCAGCAGAGGAAAGGAAAGAAGAGCGGAGGTTAGCTCTGGATAGA